TTTTTGTTTCCTTCTTAGCTTTTTTATTGTCTCTTTTGAATGGTATGTAAATGTGGTTTATTTCTGTGTGTCTATTGATGGCTGATTTGTCTGAATGCCAAACTTCCAGGAATTCTCTAGTGTTTTTGGATTTATCTTGGTCTAGGAGGCTCACAGTTTCCCAGTCGAAACTATGGTTGAGTCTGTCCATGTGTTGTGAGATGAAGGAGTTTTCATTGTGTCCTCTGACTGCTACTGCTTGTCTGTCCTACATAGTGGCTGTTACACTGTATGTTGTAGATGTTGAGTATGAATATGTAGTAGATGTTGTACATGTCACACTCTACAACACAAATTGTAGTTACACTCACTAGCACTGATGATTTTACCAAGCCAGGTAATGAAATGTCTGCAAGCAGACAACCAAGCTCAGGGAGCACCAAGGACTCCACAGTTCAACCTTGTGCCACATATATTCTCTTCTATTGTAACTTTATTATGTTAGGGATGCTTTATTTTCCCAGCTCTGCTTCAGAAAGAGTTGTTTTTGCAGATTAAATACTTGATTGCAAATATTAACATTAGATATATGATCAATATGTGGCATTATAATTTGTCATTTATTCCAAATTAAGAAAATGTTTAGTAATTTAGTTATTGTTTACTGATGCTGTATTAACTGAAATACTTTTCATACTTGGGGATGTGCAAATTATAGTTCACCAAATCTAACATAATTCATGAGTTATTCAAATGTCCTGTTTTATGTTTGGCTCTTCAAAATCTCAAATGGGGATATATCAAGCATCTGGCAGTTTGAAATGCATGGTTAGTGGCTTTCCTTTCCCCTCCTCAATGCAGTGATACAGTGAAAGACAGGTGTTAGCATTATTTAAAGACTGTGTGGACTTGGTGGACTTAAACATACATTTTAAGGTAGATATGTTACCTTTTCAACAGTTCATTTCTTTGGGCCATATGTTAATATTGCTGCCTGCCTCTTCCAAACCTTAATGTCGCAATCCCCCAGCCAGTGTCTCTGCAGATATTTGTTTTCAGATGCTTATGGAAGACAAGGAAGGCTTCTGAAAGGTCAAATGTTCTTGTAGCGGCATATGCTGCATGGTTAAGCTTTCAGAACAGAAGGTTAGTATAAAATAATCTCTGGCAATTTTTAAAAACAAATGAGCACTTACAGAAGCACATCTTTCATGGCCCTTTCCCCAAGGAATTCATAGTTGAAACCATGCATTTGCAATACAGTTTGGATATTTATATAATATTCACAAATGTTCCATAATTTAAACAGCTGTCTAGCATTCCAGAAGCTCCACAGAACAGAGTGACAGACATTTATTTCAAAATATGACAATGTTGTTGGCCTCCATAAGGTGATTTCTATGACTTACTGTTTCGTATTGTCATCTTTCTTTCATTCTCTCTTTCAGCCAGTGTGATTATTTATCTGGCTTTGTTTTAATGCTCACTAATGCTTCCTTTTTGTTCTCTTCAGATAAAAAACAAATGGGAGTGATTTTCAGATGTGGTAGATTAGTTGCAGTCACATAGACAGTCACAGCAAACAAAAGTATGTTTTATGTAGCTAGAACATAAAACATAAATCCCATAACATTTGACATATAGTTACCCCAGATTGTGTACTGATCCTTTGCAATTGTACAAGCTGGAATAGTATTACGGGTCTAATAATTGTGGAGAGCAATTGGTTTGCACAAGCAGCACAAGAGTTTTTGGTCCAGAAGCAGAAAATCCAAATGACTCATTAATATGGGACACGATTCATCAGGAATTTCTCCTCTACAGAGCTCATTGTACTTAGTGATAAGCTATCTCGTTCTTCCCACACAAGTAAAGCTAACCCCCCATCTGAAAAAAGCTCAGCTTGTTTTCAGAGTGATTCAAATTTATTTTATTTTCACCTCTCTTGAAGGAGCTATTTTTGGTAGCGTGCTGGGTCTGTGAAAGATGGGGAAGAATAGACCAAATATGACCCACTTGCCAGCTGCACCAGCCCAGTAGTTCCAAAAGTGGAAAGGGTTTGGAGAATTAAAGCAGGTGATTGAAGAGGACTTTCTGGCTTGGATGAGTAGTCAGAAATTTAGAATTAAAGTACTTGCCTTATTGTTGAAATAGACATTATGACCCCGCCTCCCACATGTCCAAAAATATGAGCTGAGCAACATCACCAGTAGATATAAATGGGGTTTATGTGAGAGCCAAACTGCTTTTGCATTATTGAGACTCTTTATTTCAAGGGGCTGGGCAGCAGATCTTTCCAATAGATTGCAGAGCTGTCTTTCATTCTGCTGCCTTTAACGGCATCTAGAAGTAGACTCTAAGGCAGACTCTTTTGCCTTTTTAAAACAAAAGATAATTATACTACTTAGACAACTTTGACTCCATCAGTATGTACGAGTGCTTCTCGTAGTTATCGTGAAAACCTAGTCATATAGAAAGCTTTGTTGCCATCCGTTAAGATGTAGTAGAGCATTTTAAGTACAGAGAATATTGTGACGATTCTCTGAAGATGTGACATTATTAGAGTGAGTGTTGCAGGTTAGAGAGAACTCTTCTGAGATTTTTTTTTTTATCTGTTCTTTTTCAACCTCCCCCCCCTTCTCTTCTATCTGAATTAGCTCTATTTCTTCATTAAAAAGATTAAATACATAAAGTACATGTATATGCCTGATTAAACTGATGGTGTTTCTTGAGAAGGCTTGAATAGTTAAAAATATAAAATGAATGCAGTTAGATGTCTATTTTTTTTTACTAATTAACCATTGTTATTTTATATATTTAATTTTACTTTTGTACTGCTTTAGCAACAATGTTTTTCTTGCATTAAAACATTGCCAGTTTAGTATTAATTTCAGCTTGTGCTCAATGTATTGCTGCTTGGAAGCAATTAAGCTGTAGGGAATTTTGGCAACTTACTTTGCTTAGGAAGGAAAGGAGTCACAGAAGGATTTGAGTAACAGTCTTCGTTGGTTCTGAACGGAAATAAATGTGGCAGAGAGTTTATAAAAATGTCAGGTAATGTTGGTTTAATACCAGAACTTAAAATTCCAGAATAAAAATGAACATTTAAGATCAGCATTTCCCAATTTGATGCCCTCAACGTTAGCTAGGTATTTTCAGACCATTGCACATAGAGGGCACCAGTTAAATGAAAGCTAATGAAGATTATTGCAGTCGTAGAAGTAGAACTTGCATCTATTTCTAGGAGAGATATTTGAGTGCATTACTGTACTTTCTGGAACTCTAAAACAGAGCATTTAAAGTGATGGGGTTAAATCTCTGTGGATTAAATGTTAAAATATTGTATTTAGTTTTGATATCTATACTGTTATATAGCCCTTAGTTACTCTGCTGAGTAGAAAGAATTACATTTATACAGTATGTGCCTATTGTAGATAATTGTTTACATGGCTCAAGAACTAAAGACTTTGTCATAGTTGCCACAGTATTTGCAAATTGATAATTACTTTATGGCTCTGCATAACACTAGTGCATGTAGAAGTTCTGTTAATTTCAGTGCAACATATATGCCTAATTGAAGGATTGTGCTATGTATGGTCATAATTTCTGAGGTATAGAATGTCTCTGTCTTCACAAAAGCCAAGGAGAGAAACAAAGCAATTGTCTTTCAGCCTCTCATCTGCAAATCTGAAGTAAAATAGTCTAAGTGTAAACTTTCTTGAGGAGCATTATGGACTGGTTGATGGAGAGTTGCTATAGTATGGACAGGTTGAGGTAGAATGAGAGTTGGTGGAAACTGAGACAGATATGCGTGGAGGAAGTGAGGACCTTTGGCTACATTGTTCTGCTGCTGGAATGACACAGCTGAGTACAACCTGCCATTTCTCACAGTACACATTTTTTGCTCTTGCACCTGTCTGGCAAACATTTTGCATCTCATAGTAGTATTTCAAGCACTGACTGGGAAAAGTGAAACTGGATCCTAGCAGACTAAACAAATAGATTTGTGGATTTGTTCGGGTGAGCATGTATTGGATAATGCATGTTTTAGCTCACTTATAGTCACTCACTCTCCCTTTTGCCACCCATTGGGCAGAGATAATCAGTTCTCCTCACGGGCTGTGTTCCATGGCTTGTGAATGGCCAGGAACGGGTGTCCTGAGGTTGCTAGAGATGTAGCCCAGGTTAACAATCTGGAATTTTATGTGGGGACCACACTCACACACCATTCAATGAGATAATAACCTCTGAGGGATTGAGGTGAGTGAGCAAATGACAAGCCTGCACACACAGAATCCTAGCTGTATTGAGCACAGTGTAGCCAGGTTTTGCTTATGGACGTTCATACAGACACACTTTTCACTCTCATACCCACTGAATCCTCGCCAAACTGATCAAGGAGTCTAGTAGATAGATGTTGGGGTACATGTGTTGTTTCCCCCCAGCCAGTTTCCTGTGTGTCCCTGCTTTTTATAGCAGTGCATTTCCTTTCCAACTCAGCTGTGCCTCATTGGTTGCTGCTGTTGTTACTGGGCTACATAAGTCTTGCTTGATGTGCAGTTTTCACCTAATGGCCGGCTTCCAGACTGGTCTGGTTTCAAATTGGGTCATTCACTGGTCTTCACACGTCCAAGGCTCCATTTTTTAATTGCTTAGTTTTCTTGCTCTGTTGGGTTCCCCCCCCCCCTTCTTCCCCTCAGGCCTTTGTCAGGTTACTGACTTCAGATAGAGTCCATAATATTTACAACATGCATTTTTCAGTTCCCATACCTAGAGCAGTTCTGACTATCACTCACTTTAAAGAATCCCCTTTTAATTTAAGATTTATGTTCTGGTTATTTCCCTTACTTTTTTTTTTTAGTTTTTGTTTTCTTAGAAGTGAAATTCTCTAAATCACCTGCAGCTTCAATTTTTGTGTAATCAATCATTTCAGTACTCCATGCTTTGTGAATTTCCCTTTCTCCATTATGTTTGCACCATGTTTAAGCTCCCAGATCTTATGCTATAGCTATGTTATGGAAGACATTGCTATCTGCTCTTCTGAAATGGTCATAGGTGCACAATCTGTGTTTTGTGTGGCTCCAGCATCTGTTCTTCAGTGGTAAATTCTTAGTTTGTGTGAAAGAAAAGTGTTTTTATGTGTGTGTATATATGTACAGTATTTATTTTCAAATTTCAGATATGGGGATTTATAATTGGCAGGCTTCATAAGATATCACAACCTCTCCCTAACTGATTATGCATTTGATGAATAGCAGAAGAGTGATCGCTAAGTATGTACATATGCATATGTTAGAGAATGTTATGTTCCTTAGATGTGTAATAAGACCTTAACAAGCAATGTTATAAGTGTTTTTATTTGATTTGGTAGGTTTTTATATGGTTTTATTTAGTAATTCATCTTAAAAGGTCACTTATAAAAAGGCAAGATATAAATCCTGAAACAAAATCAAACTCAGTTGTGTCAGTATGGGTGACATTTCCAAGCTGAATCTCAATGGGAAGAAATAACGTGGCATGGATTAACTATTCATTCTCCTTTCTATTGTTTCTATCACTCTTTGGTTTAATAGGTTTTTTTTTTTTGTATAAAGAACCAAATTATTTGAGATAAGAACCCAAATTAACTGTGCCTAAAGGAAAGCCTAATAACTTCTTTTTTCCTTGGGAATTAGGAATGTCTTTTGAAATAATAGTAATGCATACAAAAATATGATTATTGCAGATATTGAAGTATTCAATTGTTAAGGCTTATTAGTTGGAAACCAAACAATCATGAAGTTTATTGTTCTTTTGTTTTTGGCTGCAGGCTATATGTCTCCTCATCCATCTCCCCTGGGAGCACCAGAGCATGTGTCTAGTCCAATGTCTGGAGGAGGTCCAACTCCACCCCAGATGCAACCAAGTCAGCCAGGACCCATGATGCCCGGAGATCCACAGGCGATGAGCCAACCCAATAGAGGCCCTTCTCCTTTCAGTCCTGTTCAGTTGCATCAGCTCCGAGCTCAGATTCTAGCATACAAAATGCTGGCTAGAGGACAACCGTTGCCTGAAAACCTTCAGCTTGCTGTACAAGGGAAAAGGACACTGCCTGGGATTCAGCAGCAACAGACTCTTTACAAATCATCCGGTAAAACGGCTGCCTTCTGTATTGTAATACCTACGCAAGACTGAGGATAAAATTATGGCCTTTTCTTGATTATGTATAAATTGTAATTCAAAAAGTGAATTGTGAGGGAAGAATCTCAGTGGAGTAAAAGGGAGTCTTGTTCTTTTTTCCTCTTGCTTTAATGCATAGATGCATGCAGAAGCAATAGCACAGACATCAGAGGCAGTATGGGATCCTGAGTAATTTGAACACCGTGAAAAGGAAATTCTGTATGGGGCTACGGAATATGCATTTCCTGTAATGTCCTGGTAGGAGATTTTCTATATGTTTACCCCAGAGCAGAGGAAGAAAGAAACAGACCTGTACTGAATTCTGTAGAGATCCCTGCAGTTAAACAAAGAGTCTGCCCTGAAATATAAATTGTGGTCTATTTCCTTGTGTGTTTTTAAATTTAGTATGAAATAGGTAAGTACAGCAAAAAAGCGAACATCACTATATTTCATTTTAAAAATGTCTACTGAAATGTAAAATTAAAATATTTAATTAGCGGCACACACACACACACAAACACACACACATATCACAGTTTAATGTTCGTGTGAAGGAATTCACTGAAAGTCACCACTGAGATTCAGAAGCTGTTTTGCATAAAAATTATTTTGGTACATTCTAATAAGGGATCATGTCCATTCTTCCTTGTAGGAGTTGTTCCCATACCTGGACATGGAGTTGCTGCAGGAATGCCAGGACATACAACTGCCATGGCTCCAAAAACTTGGCCAGAAGGTAAATCTGCAATAACCCCAAACTGTCAGCAGCTCTTGTGCAGTTAACCATGATAGTTGCAATCTGAGAAGAGGGGGAGGAAGAACCAAAGCAAGGCCTTTTCAAATCCTTTTTTTTCTATGTTATCTAAATGGCATATCCTCACAATAGCAGGTAGTGCATTCTGTTTCTCCCCAGATAAAAGAGACCAGAGGTGGCCATGATGTATTTTTAGTACTCTTTCCCACTTTTTCTCCCAAAGCTCCTTTTGTGGATTATCTCCAGCACACAAGAGTTTCTTCTTGTGAACACCTGTGCAACAATGGTTTGCTATGCCCACATTGGAAATGAGGTTGAATGGCAGATCTAGTGGAAGAGAACAAGCTTTCATTTCTAGGAGTCATCACAATATTCTGCTTCTGGAGATACTGATCTAAGATTTTGACAAGACTCTAAGGTGACAATCGTATCTGAAAAATGCTTTCTTTTTACATTTTTTCTTCCTAGCTTGATTTTAATAGCTTCCACATTACCTATTCTACTGTTGCCTTTCTATTTAGAATATGAAAGAGTCTTCACTGGTTTCCTGCTGAATAACATTTAGAAAATCACACTTGCTCAGCTTCTGGTATCCCAGGCAAAAATATTTGCAGTATATATCAGATGTGTAAATAGCAGATACAAAGTTTCAAAGCCTATCCACCTTTTCCTGATACATTTCCAGGATCTTGGCTGAAAAATAATTTAATTGTCAGCATTGAATAGAAGCTGCTCCTCCCACTTTTGTTGTTTTGTATCTGAAATCTCTTCAACATTATTCCTTTGACGCTTTTTTTTCTATAATGCAGTTTTTACAAACATCAATACATGGATAATTAAGAGACCAAAACGATAATTAAAGAATCAGAGGCAGATAGAAAATGATTAATGTGATCATAGAGTAGGGCAAATATGTTACTTTCATTTGGGATGTTTATTTCACACATAAAAACTTGTGTGGCATTGTGTTATGTCTTGGATCAAGCAATTGTTCATGCTTCCATTAGTGTGTACATGTGAATGTAAGTAGAAGTTTCAAAGTCAACATAATTTGATCTAAATGTTGAACAAAATAATTTCATATTAAGATACAGGTAGTCCCCAGTTTAAGAACGAGTTCCATTCCCAAGGTCTGTTCTTAAGTCGAATTTGTATGTAAGCTGGAACAGTATTATTGTATAATACTGTATAGGTACTAGTGTAATGAACTTGAACCATTATGTATTTAACTTGAATCATTGTGTATTTAACTCGAATTTTGCTACAATAGACTCCATTCTTACCGAATGTTCTTAACCCAGGGACTAACTATACTTAGATTACTTATTTTAACCAGTATTTCTACTATCTTACTTTTTACTTTCCAGGGCAAGGGGCAGATATGAATGTCTCAAGTACACCCCAAAAGCTAGCTGTTCCACCTCCAAGTGGAAGACCGTCACCTGCCCCTGCTGCTACCCAACCTACAGCTGTAATGCCAGGTCCTTCTGTACCACAGCCTGCAGCTGGTCAACCTTCGCCTATTGTTCAGCTGCAGCAAAAACAGAACCGTATCAGCCCCATCCAAAAGCCTCAGGGGCTGGATCCTGTTGAAATTCTTCAGGAACGAGAATATAGGTAATAGCCAAACAGGGGTGTTTCATATCTAACAGCTTGCTTTGTGAGTTATAACTCTTATTGTCATTTCAAATTTTAAATTAAACTTCACTGCAATTACTATGTTTTCTGGAAGAGGACTGAAAATAAGCTCAGGCTGAAGACAGGGGGATCAAGTTGCATGGGAAGCCTGGATCATATTTCTAGTCCCTAACCTTTGGAATCCTATTGTGCACATTTCAGAACTTGAGAGATTTTTATGGGCATAACCACAAATGATTGCTACAGGAAATTTGCAGCTTCCAAACAATTGCTCAAGGAATTGAATCCAAGGTAGAAGTTGGGCCCCTAATATAAAATCAGACCATTGACTGGTCCTCATAAAACCTTAATTTCACAGAATACTAAACTATATATTTGCCCCATAAAACTCTAGAATCGGTATTTTATAGAATTGGGAGCATTCTTTAAATTGGGAGCATTACCTTTTAATTTTAGGAGTAGCTCCTAAGAACACATTCAGTTCCCACATGAAATATTGCCTTTATTACAGTTGGAAATTTAGTATAAGTTATCTGTAAAACTCTGATATTTTTGAAAAAGAAATGTTTTATTTATTACCTTTGTTTCTTACTCTGACCTTCCTTCAAAGTCTGCAGCAATGTGTATGGTTATCCAGCTCACTGTATCCTCACATCAATCCTGGAACAAAATAGGTATACTCAAAATGATTGGTCAAAAATTACCTATCAATCTGAGGTTGGAGTTTGGATTTAAACACAAATTTTCAAGATTCTGATGGTTTTTTAAAAATGAGCTTTTAAATCAGGTTTCAGTAGAATAAACTACTTTAAAATATTTATGCAGAAATCATAACATTGTGCTATATAGTACCTCTCCCATATTTTCTGTTTCAGTCAGTTGTATCCCCTGAAAAAAATCTATAAATTGGGTCTCTCCAGAATAATAGAATGAAGCATGATGTATTTATCTGTGTATTTGGAAGAATTAATTGGCAGTAAGTGGACCGCCTCTCTCTTACATGAGGATACTCATCTTCTACTTATACAAAGAGTTCTCTGACTCCTATCCATTCTGTACCCTAATATGGGAGATTCTTTATCCATTTTTCAAGACCAAAATTCGTTTGCCATCCAGTTTGTATAATTTATGATTTTCTTAAACGATACAGTCCATTAGTTGGACAGCTCTTTGCCTTTAGTTTTTTCTTCAGTCCGAGCCAGATTTTTTGGCCTAGTGGCTCAGAGGCTGTGCAGATTTGGTTTACATGCATATCATATAAATATTTACACGTTCTTCTGTGTTTTCATTTTATAAAGTTTCCTTAAATCTCTGAGTATGTGCACATTGTGTGTGTGTGTGTGTGTGTGTGATTGAGTAGAGGGCCTTTTTTATTTGTTAAGTTTTAGACAGAACAGTTTTACTCTAAAGCAAAAAACACTTATCAGGAACTTCATATTTAGTTTGCTGGGAGAGGGGGAACCCCATTTAATTGAGATTAAACTTGGAAAAATAAGTCCCAATAAGAAGTGACTGCAGTTAATACGTTTAATTTTGGTTGGGCAAACTTTGACGTTTTCAGAATGTCTTAAAATCATTGAACTATAGAGGTGGAAGGGGTCATTTAGTCTATTGAATCCAACTCCCTATTCAGTGCAGGAATCCAAACCAAAGTATCCCAGGTAGCTTCCACTTACAGATGTAATGAAGGTGAGGCCATTACTTCTCTGGTAATTGGTTCCACTGTCAAAGTACTCCTACTATCAGGAAGTTTTTTCTTCCTAACCGTCCATTAGAATCTGCCTTCCTGTAACTTAAATCCATTATTCGTGTCCTGCACTCTGAACAAGAGAGAACAGGTCCTGACCTCCTTCAGTGTGACATTCTTTCAGGTATTTGAAGTATGCTATCATATCACCCCACCCCCAGGTTTTTCCCAAGGCTAAATATACCCAACTCTTTCAGTCTCTTTTCACAGAACTTAGTTTCTAGTCCTCTGATCATCCTTGTAGCCATTCTCTAAATCTAAAATTATAATTCTATTCTAATTTCTCTTCATCCTTCTTAAATATAAGTCTGATGAAAACAGAATAATGTGAAAAAATAAATTCTCATGATCTAGAAGTTGCCCTGTGGTTGATGTAGCTTAATATTTCATTTGCTGTTTTTGCAGCCATGTCACACAGGTTGATACCAACTGCAGAATGATGTCTCTGTCAGATTCATTGTGCTTAATATATATACGTTTAAAATGAAACTATAGCCTCCTTAAGTGTTACCCCTTTATGGGAATAGCAACAAATATTGTGAAATAAATACCTATAAAACCTTTACATGTTTAATATGTTGACAACAACTCAACTTATTTGCTGTTTAAAGCTGCACCAGTGTGATAGATTTATGCACTAGTTCTTAAAAAGCTCTTTTAACACTTAAAAAAACCAAAGTACTATTCTCTAATCTTAATGAATTCTTCTGAAATGAATAATGTACAGTGTAATTTAATGTCATTCCACTATGAGCAAAGCTTCTTTTCTTCTTACTGCTCATAAAAAAATTGCACATGCTATTGTCCTGAAATTATGAGCAGAGTGGATTATATCAAATGGATCTCTTTTATTGTCTGACAAAAGTATCCCTGGAAGGCAGCTCTTCTCATTCCTTGGGCTATCAATCCTGCAGTGTGGCACCTACTCCAAAATCCAATAACATCTGTAGTTGTGCTCAGTTGGTTCAAGGGGATGATGCCCTTTTGCAAGAAGATCTTTATCTTCCCTTTAAGAATTCTCATTCTGCATGGATGAAGACAAATAACTACACTGTGGAGATTAATTAAACAAATTTTGGACAGAGGTAGTTTAAATCCCCAAAGCACTTTAAATGGCGGCTTCAGAAAACTGCTTTCCTCTTTGTCTCGATTTTAGGACTTAATGGCTTTTAATATTTCCCCCAGAAGATAAACATAGTCTTTCCCCCCATCTGTTTTAAAGATTAGGCAGTGAACATGATTTAAGTATTTGATACACACATTTTAGGAGAAAGTAGATTGCCATAAAGTATTTTAAGATGCCACATTAATTATAATCCCATGTATGATGCACTGCCATAGTAATTAAATAAAAGAAACTCTGAGCTGCCTCCTTTTAAATGTCATGATGAAGACCATTTCACTGCTATTTATTTTTATTTTGGAATTGCTAAATAAGAACTACGGATGTTAAAGTTTCTTTCAAATTAATGGCAATGCTGATAATTTGGTATTGTTGGCAGCCTCTTTAGATGCGCGTGCTTCAGTTCATTTAAAAACATGTTCTTTATATTGATAGCACTTATTAAGACAAATGAGCCATCATAGCTGTAACACCATTTTAGCCGCCTAGAAATTTCCCTGAAAGATGTGTACTTCCTCACTATAGCTATTTGTTAATTTTGCATCTTCTCTAACACAGTTAAAGAATCTTTTAGCACAGATCTTAACCACAGTTGAGGGTTAGTTGCTTCCTATTTAATTAGAATCTCAACCCACCATTTGAAATAGCTTTCAGATTGTGGTTTGAATGTTAAGTTTAGCCCAGTTTGATGGTGCTGAACTGCTTAACTGCTGTCAAGGATAGCTGGAAAAAAGGGCTCTGTGAAGAGGAAGAACTTTTTCTGGAGGTTGTATGCCTGATTGTGAATGCTAGATAACAGACAGCCATTATTTCATCTGCACCAGCTCAGTGTATTAGAAATGTGACCCTATATTCCAACTGTTCTAACATTTCTTAGCATAAGGTCTTTGTGAGATAGCAAAGCCCAGAAGACCCAGTTTTGAGTTTCTTCATGCTTTAGATCAAACTACGAGTTCTTGTATTTTCATCCTCTGTATAGATATTAGATGCTGCATGGTTCAGTAGCCTTACAGTAATCATTATGGTCAGCTCAAAGTTATTTTTCCATTTCGTGCAGACATTAAAAGGAGCTTTTGCAACTGCTCCATTCAACATTGATGTAGATATGATGTCCCTGTTCCCAGGAATTCTGGCCAGTTATAAGGGGCTTGGCTGCATGCCTTGGTACTAAAGGAAGAGAGAGAGGAGCAGGGGCATTAGGGTAGGGGCACAGGAAGGGTGTTTGAAAGAGACTCCACCTTAAGAGGCTTGTTATAAGTCTGCCTGGGAGCTTTTACAGTTTTCAAGGTTATGTTTTTACCCTGTCTAACATTAAAGATGCTTTTCTGAAATCTGAATGGTTTTCAGTTCTTGGGTTCGCCAGTTATGTGGGGCTTGACATAACAGCATTTGAATATTCCAGGTTCCTTTGCATCAAATGTATGTGCAGATGTACGCATGTGTATTCAACAGTAAAAAGAATATGGCCCTGTCCACCTTTTTTTTTCAGACATAGGCTCTGCTGAATTCAAAAGGATTTGCTGCCAATAATCCATGCGTAAGGTGACCTAGAGAGGCCAAGAGATTGTCAAATAGACTTGTAGCTGACAAATTCGTGTAATATCTTTTTAAATTCCCTGTCTTGTGTCCTTTCCTATGTAGGCTTCAGGCTCGAATTGCACACAGAATTCAGGAATTAGAAAATTTGCCTGGTTCTTTACCTCCAGATCTGAGGACTAAAGCCACAGTGGAGCTGAAGGCACTTAGGCTACTGAATTTCCAGCGCCAGGTAATGCATCATATGGGGGAAAAGGTATATTTATTTGTGATTAGATACTTAGGGCCTTTATATGCCATTCTATATTAAAGACTAAAGAGCAACTGGTGAACCAATGAATTTCCCATGTCAGGTCACGTATAGAAGAGAAGCATAGCAGCTGCAGTGCCCCTTTTGCCTAATTCAGTTTCCTGACTATCATGAAGATTGCAAGCCTATGGAAGCAAGTGAGTTTTTGGTCCCATAGAAGAAAAACAGAAATGCCCGGACACTGCTGATGATCTTGGGGTGGATCTTCCTTGTGACTTGTGTGGGACAGAATATGGGATGGCTCCTTTCCCTGTGAAAGAACTGTGAACAGAAAGCAGATGAAAGCTATAAAGAGTAATAAGTTCTTTGGTCAGGATCTGGACTCTTTGTTCCCTGGCCCTAAAGGTCTGAGGAAAGAAGGAGTGGCATCTCTTATGCCTCAGCACACACACCCCTGCCCCAAAGGGAGGAAGAATACACTCACTTTATCCCCCTGGGAATGTCAGTGGATCACTTGTTTCTGCTGTGGGCATCTGGGCTGTGATCCTTCAAAGCAAAAAAAAAAAAAAGCTTGCAAGAGTTTTGGATGACTATGCAAATGCCTGGGCAGCATGCCTGGATTAAGTTGATAGGGTGCTTACTTGTATGTTCCGATGAATTCCTTTCTGGTATGGAAAGTGTTGCTTCCTACATTTGGGAGGTGGGGAGATAGAATTGTTAGGACAGTCATATAAATACAGGTTACAGTATGTATGCATATGTAGGTTTAAGGCAGAGGTAGGAGACAGTTTTTGCAGTCATTCTTTGCATCCAGGGTTCCACCTGACCTTATTGGCTTCTTTGGAGCATTTTTACCTGGCACCTGATATGGTGGATAATAGTTGTTACTTTTAGGGGGTTGCATCCAGTGTTCCAAAGCAATTAGGCATTCTAGGCAGAGGAGTATCAGTAAAGTGGCATTCAGATTCCTATCAGTATTCTGGAGATTTTGTGCAGAGTGTCTCCTGTATCTATGCAGAGGGGCCTTTCTTCCTCCTTAGTTCCTACTACCAAAGTCCCTGCTTGTGGAACAGTGAGTACATGTTACCTGAGGCTGGGGGGCAGAGATGGGGTGATTTTGCAAATTTATAGTCTTCAGAGATGAGGCCACCCAAGCTGATATTTATATAGTGGTTGTACTGTGCTGTGACCCACACCATACTCTGTGCTGTATCTTGAGAATATGTGTGGCACAGTAGCTTTTTCTAGTTTTTTCTCTCCCCATGGGTATCAGTGGAAGGCAGTTATTTTACCAGTGGAAGGCAATTCTTTTATCTGCACTATCAGCAGGAAACTTAGCCATAGGTAAAGCAGGATAATGTAGCAGATTATGGGTACTATGGTATACTTTCCATATCATCACATCAGAATGGCCTCATTGGTACAGTTTCCAACAGCATATCTAAAGTCTTCTACTGGAAAATTTATCATGTTCATAGTAGATATCTAGAGGTTTTGCCAGATCCTAACATTTCACATGGGGTACAATTTCAGAATAGGATTGTCCATTGAGCATGTACTTATCAGGTCTGTGCAGCACTTTGGATTTGAAGGGGAAAAGGTTCTTGGAGCAGAGGGGATATTTGTAAAGCACCTGTTGGCAACTGCATGTTTTCCCAGGGGTGTATGGCTGCCTTTCACAGTTGCAGCATGATCCGGAAAGGATGCATTTGGTTGAAGGAGTTGCTGAGAGGGTCTGTGTGAGTGCCTTGAGTGTTCCAAAGCACCTTTTCCCCTTTGACTCAAAAGCACCGGTTATGTTCTCATTAAAATCACGTGTTTTCCAATGTAGCTTGGTTGCTGCCCATATGTTTTAGTGCAGTGTTGTCCAAACTTGGCCACTTTAAGATGAGTGGACTTCTTGGAGTTGAAGTCCACTCATCTTAAAGTGGCCAAGTTTGGACAACATTGTTTTAGTGACATGTTAGTACAGCTACTTGGGCTTTCCATTTCTTTGTTATCATAAAAAGCCTTGGCATTCATTGTGAAAGCAATATACTTTAGGGAAAAACAACAGATTTTCAGTACAAACTGCAATTAAAGAAGCAGCAGTCTTTATTATATCTTTTTGGGTATATATGTTTAAATAGAAAAATTATAAGAAGAAGACAAACATAAACTTTATCACACAACAGAATGCATAACAAATTACAATGATGTCAACGAGGCATATATGTGATGACATCACACAATATTGTACCGCAGTTATGTACCTGCATCGCAACATCTGATGCAAGTATGTAAGTTGCAGCTTTTCCATGATGATGTCATCCCACATCATCAGTGCTCCCCCTGACTTCCTGTGGAAGCCCATTCTTACATGGATTTCAAAAAATTGGTATTTTGAACACCTTGGGAAGTACATAGTTATGTGGCTTGTATTCCCTTTCCTTTTTGTCAGTCTGTGAAGTTAGCTTTACAGAACTGCTTCTGAAGATGCAGACTGGTATGAAAAAAGGCACATGTTCCCTGGTCCCATATTGCTGCAGCAATCCCTCATGCCCTTGAAACTATTACTAAGTCTCAGACTTAGGAAAGAGGAGAATTTTGTTCAGTTTTCATTTTGCTAAGAATTTACCATATTCTTCACAAATCAACATGTTAATTGGAATGCAGTTATTAATTAGTTTGCATTTCTCTAAACAAGTGATGTATACCAAAACTCACATATAAGGAAAGAGTGCGCATCAAGGTATGTTAGTGTACAGAAAGCATTATATAAAAGAGAATGGCAAAATGAATTTATTAGACAAAAATGCATATAAAATCATATTAAGAAAATGCACATTATAGTGTGTATTAATTTTTGTTAAATGTGTGTGTGTGTGTGTGTGTGTCTGTCAATGAAAACCTCTTATACTTTCTTAAAAGTTACAAACTGGTAATGAAACAAGAAGGAACAACTTGAGGATTGGAAACATATGAAATTAAAAACCAAAGTGACAGATTTATCATCCTCAGTTACAGGATCTCCCTGTGGCAGAAGCATTATTTTGTGTGTCTGTGCGTCCATGTGCATGCCGGTGTTAACCTCAGCAGCACTTCCTGTACCACTTGGCACAAATCATCTCATTTTACTGTCTAAAATCCTTCATAAAATAGGTTAGGTTTAAGGAGAGTTTTCTTCCCATGTTTATTATTTTTATTTTTTAAATTATTATTAAATATATTACATTTTAAAGACCTAGCATTCCACCTGCTATACAATATGGGCCTCATGCTAAGGATCATTTTATTGACTTTTCTTTTTTGCAAGGAATCTGATCACAACAACAGTGCAGCTAGAACTAAACAAAAAAAAAACACACCAGAAGAATAAATACAGACCTACATAATCTATGAAACTAAACTCAGGCAAGAAATTAATTTGATTCTGCAACTCCACTTTTGGTATAAATGCCAGGACTGAATTAATAACGTCTGCTTTCTTTTAAAACTAAGCACTGCCGGCGAGATTTCTTAAATTCAAATTAACTCAGTTTACTTGATCAACAAGCCTGTTTTAGAATCTGGAAGTCCAATAACATTTATATTAGACATCCAGAACAGAATGAAACAAAATGAAAAAAACACTTTGAAATACTTTTTTTTTCTTTATGTTTTTTATCAGTGCACTTTCTCTGCTGAGACATGATTTTCTTTTAAAATACTGTCTCTTCTGGTTCACAGCTACGACAAGAAGTAGTGGCTTGCATGCGTCGTGACACAACTTTGGAGACTGCTCTGAACTCTAAGGCATATAAACGCAGCAAGCGGCAGACCTTGAGGGAAGCCCGAATGACTGAGAAACTTGAGAAACAACAGAAAATAGAACAGGAGAGAAAACGTAGGCAGAAGCACCAGGTATCGTACTGTTCCGTGACTTCAGTTTTTGTTTTTTTCTCTACAAGTGAATGGAATAATCTGCTAAGGGCCCACTCACTGCTTTTATATCATGCTGGATACACTATCTTGGCTTTCATTTACTCTGCATTCTGTTTCTCAGTGAATAATATAACATTCATGCCCGTGTAGAGCTTGGGGGAAGATCCAGCTGCTTCTTTTGTCTCTAATGTATTAACATCATGAGAAGGAACCACAATGAAATGAGCAGCTCAGTTACATGAGTTGGAAAAACCTAGACGAGTTAGAATTTGCTGATACAGAGGTGTCCACAGGATCCAGTACTTTCATCAAAATGAAAGTGTTGGGCCATTGTGACACAAGCTCCATCCCATTCGTCCATGCATATGAGATCACGATGCACATACAAAAGGGGTGGAGCTTGCATAGCATTGGCACAACACAAATTTGTCATTTTGCCAGAGTCCCCCATAGATTCTGCTGTGCTGATACTGTTGAGAATCTGGCAGCCTTTTTGAGAAAGTTCGCATCAAACACTTCACTGACATAAATCATGTTAAAAAATACTCTTCTTTGGATCCAAATGGCAGAACATACTAAACTGTGTTTTTTAATTATTGATATGTAACAAACTGCTGGAGAAGCTCAGTGTTTCTGAACCTGGCAGGAAGAGAGCCTCCAAGATTTTAGTCTCTCCCAAATCTACCAGGTATTATCAGAGATTGGATTGGAAATTCTTTTCAGGCAAAGCAGGTGCTCTACTGCTGAGCTGAAGCTTTTCCTAAAATACATTTGAGGAAATGAAGCTGTTTTATACTTGTCCTGGTTCTTTTTTGTGGGCTCCAAGATTTGGTAGTCTTTGTAATGAGAAATTATGATGTAGAAACACATCTAATGAAATTAATAAATACTATTTCCATTG